TTCTTCTTCTTCTTCTTCCTCCTCCTCCTCCTGCTCTTCTTCTTCCTCCTCCTCCTCCTCCTCCTCCTCCTCCTCCTCCTCTTCTTCTTTAAATTGTGCATCTGAACACAGAAAAAAAATACATTGATCAGTACCGCCTTTCAGCTAAAACGCGCACTACTGCTACACAGAAGTACATATAAAAAATGCATTGATCATCAACGATCTTTTTGTATAGAATCTAAATCATCAATAGGAATCTACCACCGATTTAAGAACCGGCGAAGACTCCTATTGCAGCCACAGATCCTACACATAGAGTTCAATGAAGACCAAATGCTTGAGATGGTTTGAGAAGTAACATACTTAAGGTGGTCAAATTCTTGTTAGGGGAGCGAGGTGGGACTAAAAATAGCGCCTGCCACAACCTATTTAGTACCAGTTCGTGCCACGAACCGGTACTAAAGTTGTTGGCCGGGCACCAGCATCTTTAGTACCGGTTCGTGGCACGAACCGGTACTAAAGATTCCCAAAGAACCGGTACTAAAGGTCACCTCCCGACAAGTCATTTGAAACGGCACTAATGGGAGCATTAGTGCCGGCTCATATGCCAACCGGTACTAATGTTTCACATATTAGGTCCTTTTTCTACTAGTGTCCCCTTTGGAGGTACTACAAGGTGAATTCACTGTCCCACTTGTTGACACCATCATTTGTTTGAGAGAGGATGGAAGATGTGTAATCATCAACTCCCCTTTGAGGTACCATGTGGAATTTGCTGGCATACTTGTTGGCGCCATCATTTGTTCGAGGGAAGGAGAGGGACGAGGTACAGTTAGTCAATTAACAACTCCTCTTGTATAGTAGCAAACCTTCGACAATTATTGGCTAGGGATTTTCGCCAAGCTCCCCTTTTTTGGTTCTATTCTTTAATTTTTTGAGGGCATTTGTTAACTTTTATTGTTTCTCTAACTTCAACCACCTCATCAGCCGAGTGTTGTGATACTTCTGTCCCCATAAACTTTAAAAGACACATAAACATAAAATTGGGGGCTTCCTATAAGATAACATCGACAATGAAAGGAGATACTAGTTCAGTATGTTTTCATTCCTCCCTAACAAATACTCCCTCTGGAAATAGATATAAGAGCGTTTAGATCACTAAAGTAATGACCTAAATGCTATTATATTTCTTTATGAAGGGAGTACTCCAAAAGGATGGCGGGCATGTTTTCCATGATTTAACTCTAATCGTCAAATAGACTAATAACATTAAGTTGTATAACAACTTAAAGTTATGCCATGAAAGCCTCTTTCGATAGAAGAAAGCCAGCATCATTCCATGTGTCATGACCCTAACATTTTTCTGTCGATAGAAATATAGAGAAGGTAGTAAACTCGCATACTTGTGAAGCACGCACGCACGTACGCACAGACGCGCAGTGTCGTCATTCTGTAAAAAAGAAGTACCTTCACAAGTCTGAAATATCCTGCTCGGTCAAAGATCCTTTCCCAGGCTCTGGAATGTTCCAGATCCTTCCTCACGCTCACAATCGCGCCGCCGGCCAGCCCGGACTAAATTATTCGCTCCGGTTAATGGATGAACCGCTGAATCCCGCCCACCGTCCCGGCGGCCAAGCAGCGGCGCGCCGCCACGCGTCTTGTGGCGTGACAGGTGACGCCAATCCGCACCACACATTTGTCTCCGGTCGGCCGCGCTACGCACGACTGAAATATCCAATCAGTCACGTCGCGAACGTCGTGGTGGCTTCCGACGATTGGTCCGCAGACGCACCAAGTGGGCACACACGTAAGGTCCCCCGGCAGCAACACGCATGCCAGCTACACAGCCTATATATAAGCGCGGCCGTCTCCCCTGCCGATTCATCCATCCATTCATTCTCCTACCGAACTCTCAGCCTCTCACACAACTACAACGCCGCAAAAGAGCATCAATCAAAATCCAGCAGATCATCAAGAGGAGCAGCAAATCCATCTCCATGGGAGCAGGGATGAAGCGCGCGAGGGAGGAGGAGCCAACCGTCTCGCTGGCGCTGTCCCTCAGCACAGACTCCTCGGCGTCGACCACGACGTCGGACGACTCGGGCACCGGTGCGCCTACGCCGGCGGCGCCCGGGAAGAGGACAAGGCGGAGGAGAGTAGTGGCGACGTCAGGGGAAGGGGACTTCGTCTGCAAGACTTGCGGCCGGGCCTTCGAGACGTTCCAGGCGCTGGGCGGCCACCGGACCAGCCACCTCCGCGGCCGCCACGGGCTGGAGCTCAGCGTCGGCGTTGCCAGGGCCATCAAGGAGCGGCAAAGGCGCGAGGACAGGCAGCAGCACGACTGCCACATCTGCGGGCTGGGCTTCGAGACGGGCCAGGCGCTCGGCGGCCACATGCGTCGGCACCGCGAGGAGATGGCGCTCGACCGGTGGGTCGCGCTGTCGGATCAGGAGGCGGGGCACCAGGCCGCCGCCGACCGGCTGCCTGTCTTGCTCGAGCTGTTCGTCTAGTTGGCTAGGTGGATATCTCTGTTTCTTACTACAGTATAATCCAGGACTTGTACATGTCTTTTGAATCAGGTAGGTTACGATAGAATATGTTATTGCTGGTTAGCATTTCCGCTCGTGGGATTTTGCTCGGAATCGGTTCGTTTTCTTAACCGATCGACTGGGGATTTAGATACACTTTGTGCTTACATTAGACAAAAAATTGTTTTGTTCTATATGCAATTGACAGATTCTTGCACTCAGATAATTTTTCTATGAATATGTTGTTGTTCACCGCCATTGTCTATGATAACAAGTCTAATTTGGAGCCTAAATTTGTAAATTTTTGCAATATAAGCTACCTTCACAACTTAACATCGTCTCAACGTTGATGGTACATTGATTCGTTTGCTCGCCTGAGTTGAGGATGAGGGCGCAGAGTGACGTGGGAACTAAGGGGAATGTGGAGGTAGTCCTCGCCATGGGCAGCCCGGCCCGACCTTGTCCACGGGTCGGGCCTAGGCCTAGATTTTCAGCCCGATGGTCGGGCCCGGGCCTGTCATATTCACAGTTTAAGGAAGAGGACCGTCCTGAGGCCCGACGGGCTTTTTGCGTGATGGGTCGGGCTTGGGCCTGATTTTTTGGCCCGACGGCTGGGCGTGGGCCCAGGATTTTTGCGTCGGGCTTTGGTAGGCTCGGCCCGAGGCCCGACCCGGCCCGACAAATGGCTAGGTATATGTCGAGGCAGTTGCGTGATCTCCCGTATCCCCTTCTTGCTCCTCGGCCTTGCTTCCTCGTCGTCCTCCAGCACAATGGACATCTCCCGCATCCCTCGCGATGCCAATGCCATCACCACTGCCACCGCATCCTCCTTTGAGCCATGGCGTGCCCGACGACGAGATCTGTATATTGCCCACTTCTGCCGCTGGACTGGGTCCATTGATTCCGTTTCCTCCATAGCCTGAAGCACGATTTCTATCGAGTACTTTGCCTTGTATTAGGAAACAGTCATGCCTCCTTGATTGATCAACTACCTAGTCACCACAATTGCCGCCCTAGCTAGCTCGCTCGAGCTTGCAAACCACGAGCTGGTTTCTCGCAGTCTGGCCAACTTCATCGTGTTTCCCTTCCGCGATCTTCGCCATGCGCGCCTCCCATTCCGCCATCGAGACCAGCACGGATCGGAGATCTGCAGCATCACGCCTCCCATTGGTTCTATCTATTGTAGCGTAGATGTGGAAATGCCCGCGAGCGAATCAAAGAGCCGCGGTCTTCCACTAGACCAGAGGTTTCATGGCGAGTAAATGCAGCCTCGATAATGACAATGTGACATCGCACACCACCACCTCCATTCTGGTTCGATCCCTGTACGTCCTCTTTACCACAGACCACACAGACACGGACCGGCCCAATGAAATGGATACGGTACCTCAATACCCTCCACAATCCTATGTCCTGCATGGCATGCATGATTGTTGACGACATGTCCCCGTTCATTAAGAACTAACAGCCACCTTGTCAGAGAAGAGTACCATGTCGGTAGATGAGGGTGCTCGCCGCCCTGAGGTCGGAGACGAAGAGCTCCGACCAGCATGTATCACATCCTATGTAAAAATTAGTTGATTCTCAAGGCCCATCCAAGCCAACTAAGATTGATCTCAATTTTTGCAAAGTGTGCACACCTTTCATTTTATTTCTAGGTCCGCCACCGGCAGAGGCCATGATGTTGAAGTCTTTTTACTGGTATACCATGTTGATATTTTTGCAAAGAAATGAAGCTTAAGTAAATAATATGTCTTGCGTGTATTTCTAGGTGTATAATTTCACAAGCATAAGATGAGTTGTATAGTCTAAATATTATACCATTAGAAAGTAGACGATTCGAAGCTTCTAATGATATATTTTTTGTGATATATCACTTGTAGTACGTTAATGTATTTATCAACCTAGAGATACACACAAACCTTATAAACCGAGAGGACGTAATACTTCAATTTTAAATAATAAAATCAGGTCTGTGGAACGTACCCATTGGTTATCCTCTCTGACAATAAACAAAAAACAATCATCGGTTATCCGTAGCTTTACCCGAAAAAAAAGGGTTATTAATAGCTTTGCCGTCCATCAAATTCTAGGAACAGCTTTGCGTGTACTAGGACGGGCAGCATCGACTCCTCTGGATAACGGCAGGGCCCGAACCGGCCGGTACTGTCACGCGGTTTTGCCATGGCGTGATCCAGCGCTCTCGAGAGAGACGTGCTACGTATACCAAGCCGATTCGGCCGTTGTTAGCTAGGAGTCTAGTGTCAAATCGCAGGCAGTTCCGGCCGGTGCACCGACGCGCCTAGTGTCAAAAACACTTCTACGTTATGGGTTGGGTAGTTCTTTGAGTTTAATCTACTCCACAGATCTGGGTTTTGATGGCATTTTTAATCTGCAAGCTCTCGAGCTGCGTGGCTTCCTGCTCTCTGCTCTTGCACTCAACGAGACCATGTGATCCAGGCGGTTACCGATGTTGACCGCATGTGCATGCTAAATCTCCCGCGTAGACAGTAGCAGTGCGCGCGGCGGTGTGTGCTTACGTTTCCTAGTCGTGGCTCATCCCACAGGTCCGCCAAGTTGATGCACAGCACACCACCATGGTCGTTCGTGTTTTCTCGTTCGTTCTAGAAGCCGCGCGCGCAGCCGGCGGCTCCATCGGCAACACATTTCAACGGCGGACATTGTTTCACACTTTTTTTCATGGTAATACGTTGCTTCACACAAGAGGAAGAGAAATAAAACAGTGGACGCGTCAACAACTGCAACAAAAGGTATATAGTATCTCTTCAATTACTAAGCTCCCACGAAATGGAGCGATCTGGCTCGTCGGGTCTGTAATTTCGCTGTGGTCCCCATAAGTCAGCGAGTGAACATCGATTTTGCCCTACACCAGTCGTTCATTGCCACGTCTTAGCGACCTATACTCGACACCGAGCCACCACCTGTCGCCTCCTCCTCTTCCTCCTCCTTTCGATGCGTTGCCTCGGATCCCCCGCCCCTTGTGTGGTTGGCCGCCGGCGCTGCGCACACTCCTTGCATGATTCGGCGACGCCGCCCTCATCTGTATCCACTTGTTTTGTTGTCTTTACTTGCGAGATCCTCTACTAGGTTATAAGGCATACGCCGACGGTACCACGAGCGCCTTGGAACCCATCGTTTGGAAAAAATTGCATGGCCGATTAGTGCTTCAGCATCATCGCCTACAATGGGGGCGTGTTGGCTACCTTGCGACCACGCCCAGTAGCGCTGTATCGAGTGCAAGAGGCAGATCAGCCAAGGGTCACACATCAATACTCCTCACCGCTGATCAGACATGCAAGTGATTTCTATTGAGCATTTTCCCGTTCCCCTGTATCTCTTATACCTCATAACCTCTTGGAAATTCGACGAATCAAAACCTCTAACTCTGCTTTTCTCTGTATTTTTTTTTGTTTAAATCATCTGTCTATATGATGTTCAATTATGCAGTTGATCATTGATCTAGCTTTTTTTTTGAAGGTCACCGGGGGAGGGCAAAGCCCTCCACCTGAATATATTCAATCGAATTTGCCTAGAAGCCTCGCGGCTCCATACAAGATAGGTTCAAATGAACCAGAGTACACGGGGAAAACAAGAGAAGAGATGCAACCGAAAACACACACACACACACACATCCAACAGAACCACCGGAAGACCCGCCGAGAAAAGGGCACACAGGGAGAAGAAGGCCTTCCGACAATCCGGAGCTGGACGCACCAACACCACCGACCGCCATCACAAATCTCATCAGCACAACCCGCCAGGAGGAGGACCTCAACTTACATCTTCATCTGACCAAGCAAGGAGAGCCTTGAACGTTGGCCATCTGGTCGCCAGCCAACAACACCCAGCAGAGGTAGAGGTGCCATATGGGAACGAGGTGATCCATTGAGTAGGATAACGACCCCGCTAACCCGGCTTCGGATGAAAATCAGAACCAATCCAGAGCAAGGCTGAGCCATGATCTCGCATACAAAGCACCACCTCCTCGCCAACAAAGCACAAACCACCATCAGCGCTAAGCCGGCCGCGCCACCACAACCGTCAAACCCGCAGCGAGCAGCCACCACAGAGACCAACCGAGCCTAACCCAGACGATGCCTTCAAGAAGGGATGCGACACAATGTGCGCCGCCATCGTCCATTCCAGATGGGCTTGGAACATGGGTTTCCCCTGGGATGTGAAGGGGCAGTCACCATGACAGCGCCGCCTCCAAGGAGGTTAGCGGCGCCCGCAGGCGTCGCCGGCACCGGCTCCGGCAGGAGCAGGGGCTTTCGCCCAAATGAGCAGACCACCTCCAATAAGCATCGAATTGACCTCGTAGCACCGCTCCCTGCACCACCACAGAGAAGGGCCACTGCAGCCCCATCGCCACACATGACCAAATCCGGGTCGCCGCAGGCCAGATCCGGCAGGATCCAACCTGCCCCCGCCGCTCCCCACCGGATCGGGCCAAGCCGAATCCGACAGGCGCGCCGCCCACGCCCGCACCGCCAGAAGGCAGAACCACAAGCCAGAGCGGACGGCGGCGCCTCGGGCAAGGGCGAGCACCGCCACCCCGCGCCTCACAACGACCTCCGCTGAACACAGCTGAGCCGAAACTAGCAGCCATCCCCGACGCCCACCGGTCGCCAACAGTAGGGAGACGCTGCTTCGGGGAAGGCCAGCGGAAGGGAGCCGCGAACGCATCCGCCCCCCTGTCTCCGACCACCACCAGCAGAAGCGACGCACGCCGGAGTCACGTCGTGCCGCCCGCCGCCCCACGGAGCTCCCCCGGCCCGCGAGCGGTCTGCACGAGGAACGACGGCCTGCCGCCGCCAGATCCGCGCGGGCTTCGCCCGGCAGAAGCTTTTGGCGGCGGCGGGAGGAAGGGGGGTGGCTGGAAGGGGAGGTTCGGCCGGAGGGGAGGGGGTCGCCGCCCGAGCCGCCCTGGGGAGGACGGCGCGGGGGCCACTCTCAGTTTT